TTAGCTGCTATCTGTGGAGCATTCATTATGCATTACTTCATATATTTCCACAAACCTTGCTAGTATCATTATCCTCTTTAAAGATGAGGCGTCTGAGAACCAGGAAGGTGATGTAACTAGCCCAAGTGTACACTTCATTGATAGATCCATGTATTATGCTTGGTAGTCTGACCCCAACACTCACACTTTTTAAGCACTATATCTCACTGTGAAACTCCCTCAGAAAATGCAAAATGCGAATTATAACCCTCACCATGTATCAGTTCCTTGAAAATTTTGGTGATAGCAATCTCCTATTCTTTACTGAGGGAAGTCCATTCAGTGGCCAGATAAAATGTAAAGGTTGTTTCCAAGTCTTATGTTTACATCTAAAAGAGACAGAAAGAGCTTCATGAGCACACAAGGTAGAGAATGTTCCCCACTGCTTCTCAAGTGCTGCCTTCAACATGGTCTCAGGGAATAAAACATAGAGAAGCAAAAGTTTCCTCCTTCAGTTCCAACTGGAATTTAAAGAGGTTTCCCTGAGAGGACATGAACATAGACAACTGCCTCTCAGTTGCCCGCCAGGGGTTTGAAAATTTTCCATCAGTATATTCTCCAAGAGACAGTTTCATGTTGTTTGACTGGCTTAACTGTTTGCAAAACTTTTCTGTCCCTGACCAATTAGGTTATTTTTTTCTCCTTCTTTTTTTTAAATACTCCTGAGTTTCTACTTGAAGATGCTTTCATTTTCCTTTGTGTTCAGGAATAGAACACTATGTACGCTGGAATGGAAATGCCTATGTTCTTACTAAATGCAAGAGCTGAGTTCTAGGACAAGGCACAGCACCGACCCATGAGGACTGTGTGTGCCATTTTAAGCTTGGGTAGCAATGAGTGCTTATTAAAGAACAACATATTTTGTGTATAAATATGCAAAACTGTATAAATTAATCCAAATGTTATTTTTTTCTCTCAGTATCTGATCTCTATTTTCCATGACTTTGAAACCAAAAGTTGATTTCTGACCCTGAGTGGTGCAAATGGTTAACACACTCTGCCACTAATCAAAAAGTTGGAAGTTCAAGTCAACATCCAGGCACCTCAGAAGAAAGGCCTGGCCATCTACTTCTGAAAAATCAGTCCTTGAAAACTCTAAGGAGCAGAGTTCTACTTACACACATGGGTTCACCATGAGTCGGATTAGACTTCATAGCAACTGTTCGTGTTTTTCTTTTCTAAGAACTTTTTATCTTGTCATTTTGCTTGAAATGAATGAATGACAGATCTGTTGACTCTGTGGAATATAGTATTGTGATTGAAGTTTGAGGGAAAACCTGGAGTTGGCCCATCAGGCTGCTTCAGAAAGGGGCCAAACTAAACACTGTGTTGCTTCATTCAATCTTTAAACATTTTACTCTACCTATTTATATGGCTATTCATACCCCACAAAAGATGCAAAATTGAAATGATTCATCAAAACAGTCAAGGCCCAGAAGCACCTTCACATCAATCACCCATGGGATTAAAGAACAAATGTTGCTTTCTTTTTATTAAAATTTTAGACATCTGCCTCAACCAGAAGAACTGGCCGACATGAACCACACACATTGTGATCCACGTACAGAAATCCCCAGAGAACTGCCTGAGACATGGCATGGAGCCTGTGAAACGACTGAGTGATCTCGCTAGGCAGCAGCAAGGCAGACACTCAGAGTAAAGAATGGCTTCCCCTACTCTCAACACCCTCAGTCAGAGCATGGACAGGAGAGAGCTGATAAGGCCCCATGCACATGGCACAAGGCCAAGGGTAAACAGGGGATAATTTCTATCCCAGAACCCTGAACTTGTACTATTACCCAAACTGAGCATGTCAGCACCATTCTGGTAACCCAATGTAGCGCAATCCTGTGAAAAAAAATAAAGACCCAGCCTGCAGAAGCCATTGGCTTGCCAGATGACCCAACTGGAACTAGGGTCCCAGCCACAGGACCAGGCTTAACATCATTGGAGCTGAATAAGAACTCCTGGAGGCTTCTGGTTGACCCCATGGATGGGATAGAGTATGGAAGAGCAAACTGAAAAGGAGAAATAAGCAGAGGTTCATACAGTCATGTCCAAGTTGGGGTGCCTCACCCAGAAGGCACATCAGACTTCCCAATACCAGGCACTGGAGAACCTAGAAAATTTTTCAGAAGGCACTCCAAAGTGGGGAGGCAAGGACAGGGTTCTGCTGCCCCAGGTCTGAGGGTAAACCCATTGCTGTCGAGTCGATTCGGTAGTGCTATCAAACATTTCAGTTCTTCAAATCTATGAACTTAAGGTGACACTTTAAGCCATTTATAGAATCAGGGGAAGGAAAATTGTTCCAGACACAGGGAATAGCTTATAATGCACAGTCCCTATGGAAAGAGTGTACCTTGTCACTAAGAGGAACAGAAAGACTGGAGGATCAGTGAGGGGTCAGCCATGAGAGAAGGGTTCCAAGAGGTGGAAGGGTAGCAAAATTACTGCTGCCTGATCTTCAGCCATTGTAATGCTTTAACTTTTACACTGAGTAACAAGGAGCGCCATTGCAGTAGACTCGAGTCATGATATGATCTGATTTATGCATTTAAATGGTAACTCTAGCTGCACTGCTAAGTGTAGACTATTGCAGCAGAGGATGCAAAGGTAAAAGCAGGGAGACTTGGTAAAAGGTAATTGCAACAATCTAGGTGAAAATGATGGTGGACGGGAAGTAGGTGGCAGCTCTAAAAATGATAAGGAGCTCTTAAATTTGGGATATATGGTAAAGTTAAAGCTAACAGGATTTCCAGATAGAGTGGATGTAAAGATCAAATATAAATAAATCAAATGTGCCACCAATCGACATGGAGTATGACGTGAGTGGAGTCAGTTTGGGGATGGGAGCAGAACCAGGAATATAGCTTTGGATTTGTTCAGTTTAGAAATGTATTTGTCATTTAGATGGAAATACCATGGAAACAGTTGGATGTCCAGGTCTCAACCTCAAGGAAGAATCTGGACCTGAGATATGAATTTGGGAACCTTGGTCATGAAGAGAGTATGTGAAGGCAGAGGGACAGATCAACTGTGTTAAATGCTGCTAATGGATTTAATAAGACAAGAAATGAGCAACTGCTGTTAAATTTAATGATATAGAGGTCTATGTTGTCCTTGAGAAGAGGATTTTCAGATAGCATTAGGTAATGAAGTGTGACTGTTAGGAGTTTAAAGAGAATGGAAGGAGAGAAATGGGAGATGGGCATTATATCGATCCCTTGAGTTTTGCTGTAAAGGAGGGAGAATGAAATGACGTATTAGATATAAATGAAGAAGAGTCAAAAAAGATTTTTTTTAACGATGAGAGAGGCAATGGATTGCTTCTTTGCTGATGTAACTGATCCAGTAGAAAAGGAAACATAGATGAAATAAGAGACAGAAGAGATTCTTAGAGCAGTGTCCTTGTGTAAGCAGTGAAGAGACGAGGTCCCATGCAAAAGTAAAGAGACTTTAGTTGTCTTTGGTAAGGATCACAGATACTTCATTTATAGTAGCAGTTAAGAAGGTAGCATGTAAGTGACTGGATGCTGGCAGATTGATTGAGATAGTTGTAGGGGACTGGAAGTTCTCTTTTGATGGTTTAAATTATTTCAGTGAAATAGGAAGCAACTTCATGTAATGTTTCCCATTACGTTTGATATTTGTGGTAGTTTTTACGCAGATATCTTTCTTCAAATTAAAGTATCCTTCTAGTCCTACTTTGCTAAATCCTGAACAGTTGTGAATTTTTCAAATTATAATACAGAGATAATCATACAATTTACAAGCTAATATTAGTAACAGCAAGTCCCCATAACAAAACAGTAAGACCAAAAGTTGTTTCACATGTCAGAGTCTCAAAAAAAAAAGAAAAAAAGATCAGGCATTTAGCTGTTAAATAACATGTTTAATGACTAAAGGCTATTTAATGTGAACTAATTTGGGGATCCTATAGAACAGATAAGAAATTTATGAGATCTAATTACCAGGGAACAATACAGCGTTAATGGACAGAACAACTCATAAATGTAATAGAAGATGTATATTCTGATACTACTTTATTTTTTAGCAGTGAGTTAAACAAGATGGAAATTTATTTCCGCTTTACATAAAGAAGTCTGAACCAAGTAGTATGGGGCTGGTATTATAGCTCTACAACATTAGGCTTATATGTTCCTTCGGTCTTGGTTTTCCACTAACCTTAACACACATCCTCATGGTCTAAGATGGATGCTTGAATTCCTACCAAAATTCCACTAACACAGAATTACCATTTACTATATCACATTCATTTACATTTTATTGCCATAATTTGTCACGTGGTCACGCTTAACTACATTGGATGCTGGTAAAAGTAGTCTTTTAGCTAGGAAGCAATGTGCCTTAAAAAAAAAAAAAATTTGTGATCCCTTGGATTCTAACTCAGAAGGTGTCTAGGTTTGTGATCTTTATAAGGAAAGCAGACTGTCACATCTTTCTGATGTAGACTGTAGGGTGGTGAAATGCCGCCCTTTTGGTTAGCAGCTGAGGGCTTAACCACTGTGCCACCAGAGCTCATTAACTAGGATCAGGGCCCTAAAAATAAATTTTTTCAGTTAAAATAGTTTCAGGAAGTTCCTATTCCTAATATCTAAGATTTTTTTTAGTTCCTTCCATGAAGGTTTTTCAAAGTATGGTATGAATGGTAAGAAATTTAATAGCTATTCTGATTCCTCTCCTTTAGTGATTTCTTTTCATTATTATATTCTAAACAAGCATAACATTCAACATAGATTACCCGTAAGGATATTGAGCTGCCACCTCCAAGATAATGAGTGATCTGAGGGTGGAAATAGCATTTCCTGACCTACAAGTTAGTGTTTTTCTGTTGCATTAAGTTAGATTCTGTGTTACATGTTCCAGCCCCTATAAAGATTTTGATTAAGAATACTTTGATTTCTTTCTTCTGGAAGTTTTAGTTTTTTATGTTTAATGTTTTATTTTTCATCAGAAACCACTGACAATCTTGTCCAAAACTTCTTCATGGCATTTTTCACTTCCTTATTCCTCAAAGTGTAAATCAAAGGATTGAGCGATGGAGTTATGATGGTATAAACTAAGGCCACCATCTTGTCAAAGGAGAAAGCAGATGGAGGTCGTGCATACACAATTATGCACGGGACAAAGAACAAAACCACTACAGTAATGTGAGATCCACATGTGGCTAAAGCTTTCCGTCGACCTTCAGTGCTATGAGTTCTCAGTGAGAACAAGATGACACAATAGGAGATAAGCAACAAGGAGAAGATTAAGATGCAGATAAACCCACTATTGGCCACAACCAAAAGTCCAAAGATGTGAGTGTCAGTGCAGGCAAACTTCAACAATTGGTACAAATCACAAAGGAAGTGATCGATAACATTGGGACCACAGAAGGGCAGCTGGAGAGTAAAGAGAATTTGTATCACAGAATGCAAGAAGCCCCCTGTCCAGGCTACCCCCATCAGAATGCCACAGAGCCTCCAGTTCATGATAGAGGGGTAGTGCAAAGGCTTACAAATGGCCACATACCGGTCAAAGGCCATCGTGGTGAGGACAATCACCTCTACTCCACCAAAGAAGTGTTCAGCAAAAAGCTGGGTCATGCAGCCCTTGAAGGAGATGGTTTTCCTTTCATAAAGGGAGTCTACAATCATCTTTGGGGTGAATGCAGACGAATAGCATGCATCCAGGAAGGACAGGAAGGCCAGAAAGTAGTACATGGGGGAGTCCCGGAGTGCCGGAATGCTGATGATAGTCTCTACGGTTAGCAAATTGCCTCCAAGGGTTGCAATGTAGCAGAACAAACATACAACAAATCCTAGTTTTTGAACATTTGGATTCTGTGAAAGCCCCAAGAGAACAAACTCGGTTACAAAGCTTTGATTTTGCATGATTTCATTGGAAAAGGTGGGAGCTACCACATTGACCATGTAGAATCTGAAATTATGAGAAAGAGATATTTGTCTCAGACCAGTTTATGAGATTAGCAGAGTCACCAACAAGTTGGTGCATTCATAAGCAAAGTTAGTTTAAGTGCTTCTGTTGTTGTTGAGAAGACAAAATTAGAAATTTGTTGAAGGTGGTAGTGAGACGTCAGGCAGCATGGAGTGTAAGTACTTTAACATAATCAGAGTTTCATTATGAGGAAGGGAAACATTCATATGTGCTAGGGAGGACAAATCATTTTTAACTTAGGTACAAACTCTGGCTAGTTAGTAGTGGCTACCTAGAGTGAATTGTTGAGAAGGATTGTGAAACACATCCACACTCTGAGGAAATGTAAACTGTGATATATTAGTTATACCTGCCATTGACATGGCATGGGAACCAGGACGACTTGCAAGGGAAATGCATCTCTCTCCAGGAGACTGCTTTATCTACAAATAAAAGCAGAGATAATATGCATTTTAAGACGTAAATGGAAATCATGCCTAGTCCCCCAAATATTTCTTTGAAAGTCTGAACTGAACTGGCTTTTAAGATGAACTAATTCATTCCTCATAAAAAATAAAGGCCTATGGAAAAGTGCCTGCCTGTATGCTTAGCAAATAATAAGTATACATTAAGTGTTGTTTGTTTGTTTTTCTTTTAATTCATCATTTTACAATGAAAACTGAAGCTGATAAAAAAAAATACCTAGTTCAGAATGTTATGCTGATAACTAAGTGAAATAATGATAGGAAAGCAATTGCTCAGTGCCTAGTATCTAGGATACGGTCCATGTTAGGTCTTATTGTCTCTATTTTACTGGTAGCTAAGTCATGCTTTGAGAGGTTTAGGTCAAAAAATTAATAAAAGTTGGATCTGGATTTTCTGATTCCAAAGTCCAAGTCCAATCCACTCGATCAATAAGGAAGAGGGTAAGAATGTTTCCTTTCTAGGAAGAACTTCAGAGCAAAGATGACCATTTTAGCTTCTCCAAGCACTTCTCAAGGTTAAAACCTTGTGATTCATTTGTTTGTGTATAAATGAAACACCTCAGGGAAAGAAACTGCAAATGATTTGTAATCAGAAGGTAATGGCCCTACCGTATACATACACATCTTATGCATATACAAACGACAACAACCTTGGAGGTCAGGAATAGAAACAACATGTTGAATATAAGCCAGTCTTAAGGTTTTATTAATTATTAACCAATTATTTAAACAATGTGATCCAATATGATCAAGTGCAACTACTCAAGGTACAGCTGTTTCAAAATTATATAACTTTATTGTAAAAAAGTTCATACACAGCTTACCTGATTAACTCACAGGATTATGATGAGGACCAATTTTGAAAATGTGAAAATGCTGGTTATGATAAGGAACTGTTGCAAATTGTGGTTATTATTATCTCACTCAACAAGCTAGTTTATTGAGTCAACCAGATAATTATTTCAGCTTTTGACTTCATCTTCCATAAGTGGACATAGCTTAGAAGGATGAGTGTGTACTCACCTGTACATATAGCAGAAATTTATCACTCAAATCATTTACATAATTATATGTTTGCTAAAGAGATGAACAAACATAAACTGATTTTGTTGAACGCCACTTAGAATTAACAAATAAAACCAACAAATATACAATTGTATAGGTTAATGTCTTCTGTTTGTTTGCTTTCAAACAACCATTTCCTTATGTTCCCAGGGACCTAGGCAATCCTAAATTCGGCCAGCACTCTTAACTCCATATGCAGCTACAAGCTATTATCAGACAACAAAATTAAAAAACAAACTCAAAAGAGTCATTGGATCTGTCAACAACCATATATTAAAAAATAAAGAATATCAATATAATAAAGGGTTAACCCAACCACAGAGGGCCCTAATCACAAAAGGGCAATTTGTTTGTCAGAATCCACAGGGCTTCAAACAATAAGAAACTATATCAAAAGGGTAGGACAGGGTGCGCTAACCAGTTCAATGGACTGTGGGCATGCGTACCAAAACTAAATAACAACTTACCCCAGGAAGTGAGTTAGAGATCTACCCAATATCACAGGAAGCCCACATTAAAAAAAATATATATATATACCATATGACAGACCCAGGACCCCTGAGCCAACAGACCAAATTGTTAGGAAAGAAAAATAAGAAAAGGTGACCCAATCATGATCTTAATTCTTTGTCTTTACTTCAACCAGTCATAGTTTTTATGTAGTTTAATCATAGGTAATTGCTCCAATGATTATAAAGGGCCCCCTGAAACATCTTTACTCATAATGAATCAGCACCTGTCAAAATTGTACAAAAAGCACTTATTGATTAACCTTCTTTGGATTTTCGTTTGTCGCCTGAGTGCTTGCAGCCAATTTCCCATTTTTGTTTACTGATATGTCACAATAAAAAACTCTTTGTTGCAGAAGGCTTTAGTGAAGGTCGATACTGTACAACAGATATATGATCCAATAGTGGTGAGTTTAGCCTAAGACAAAAGCAAGACAGACAATGAAGTACAATGAGTAAGAACATCAACACCAAACTCATACAGGACTGGGTTAAAATCCAAGCTCTTCTAAGCAGTTATGTCTCATGGAACAAGTTACTTAAAATCCTTGGTTTCCACTTCTGAAAAGTGAATATAATAAGACTGCCTATTGATAGACTCCCCCCACATGTCTGTCAATTTGTCATACTGTGGGGGATACCTATTGCTGTGATGCTGGAAGCTATGCTACTGGTATACTTCTGAAAAGAATTAGCCAGTGAAAACATTATGAATAGCAGTGGAACCTTGTCTGATATAATGTCAGAAGATGAGCCCCTCAGGTTGGAAGGCACTCAAAAGACAACTGGGGAAGAGTTGCCTTCTCAAAGTAGAGATGACCTTAATGACGTGGACGGAGTCAAGCTTTCGGGACCTTCATTTACTGATGTGGCATGACTCAAAATGAGAAGAAAGAGCTTCAAACATTCATTAATAATAAAAATGTAGAATGTACAAAGTATGAACCTAGGAAATTGGAAATTGTCAAATATGAAATGGAATGCATAAACATCAATATTCTAGGAATTAGTGAGCTGAAATAGACTGGTATTGGCCATTTTGAATTGAACAATCATATGGTCTACTATGCCAGGAATGACAGCTTGAAGAGGAATGGCGTTGCATTAATTGTCAAAAAGAACATCTCAGGATCTATCCTGAAGTACAACACTGTCAGTGATAGGATAATATCCATAGCCTACAAGGAAGGCCAGTCAATATGACTATTATTCAAATTTACACACCAACCACTAAGGCCAAAGATGAAGAAATTGAAGATTTTTACCAACTTCCGCAGTCTGAAATTGATCTAACATGCAATCAGGATGCACTGATAATTAAATTACTAGTGATTGGAATGCATAAGTTGGAAACAAAGAAGAAGTATCGGTAGTTGGAAAATATGGCCTTGATGACAGAAACAATGCTGGAGATCTCCTGATAGAATTTTGCAAGACCAATGACTTCTTCATTGCAAATACCTCTTTTTCAACAACAAAAACTGTGACTGTACACATGGACCTGGCCAGATGGAATACACAGGAATCAAATCGACTACATCTGTGGAAAGAGTCAATGGAAAAGCTCAATATCATCAGTCAGAACAAGGCCATGGGCCAACTGCAGAATGGACCATCAACTGCTCATATGCAAGTTCAAGTTGAAACTGAAGAAAATTAGAGTAAGTCCACAAGAGCCAAAGTACGACCTTGAGTATATCCCACCTGAATTTAGATATCTCCTCAAGAATAGATTTGAAGCACTGAAAACTAATGACCGAAGACCAGATGAGTTGCGGAATGACAGCAAGGACATCAGACATGAAGAAAGCAAGAGGTCGTTAAAAAGACAAGAGAGAAAAGACCAAAATGGATGTCAGAAGAAACTCTGAAACTTGCTCTTGAAAGTCAAGTAGCTAAAGCAAAAGAAAGAAATGATGAAGTAGAAGAGCTGAACAGAAGATTTCAAAGGGTGGCTAGAGAAGACAAAGTAAAGTATTATAATTACATGTGCAAAGAGCTGGAGATAGAAAACCAATGGGGAAGAAAATGCTGGGTGTGTCTCAAGCTGAAAGAACTGAAGAAAAAGTTCAAGCCTGAAGTTGCAATAGTGAAGTATTCTATGGGGAAAATATTAAATGACACAGGAAGCATCGAAAGAAGATGGAAAGAATACACACAGTCATTATACCAAAAAGAATTGATCAATGTTCAACCATTTCAGAAGGTAGCATATGATTAGGAAATGATGGTACTGAAGGAAGAGGTCCAAGCTGCACTGAAGGCAGTGGTGAAACACAAGGCTCCAGGAATTGATGGAATACCACTTGAGATGTTTCAGCAAACAGATGCAGTGCTGGCAGTGCTCACTCACCTATGTCAAGGAATTTGGAAGAGAGCTACCTAGCCAATCTACTGGAAGAGAGCCATATTTATGCCTATTCCTAAGAAAGATGATCCAATTGAATTCGGAAATTATCGAACAATATCATTAATATCATACACAAGTAAAATTTTGCTGAAAATCATTCAAAAGCTACTGAAGCAGTGTATCGACAGGGAAAAAAGCAGCAGTATATCAACAGGGAAATGTCAGAAATTCAGGCCGGATTCAGAAGATGTGTGGAACCAGGGATATCATTGCTGATGTCAGATGGATCCCGGCTGAAAGCAGAGAATACCAGAAAGATGTTTACCTGTGTTTTACTGACTATGCTAAGGCATTAGACTGTGTGGATCATAACAAATCATGGAGAACATTGCAAAGAATGGGAATTCCAGAACACTTAACTGTGCTCATGAGGAACCTACACATGGATCAAGAGGCAGTTGTTCAGACAGAACAAGGGGATACTGCGTGGTGTAAAGTCAGGAAAGCTGTGTGTCAGGGTTGTATCCTTTCACCATATCTGTTCAATCTGTATGCTGAGCAGATAATCCAAGAAGCTGGACTATATG